CTTGTGTATCCGGATAAGTAGCTACCTTGTGTATCCGGGTAAGTGGCTACCTTGTGTATCCGGGTAAGTGGCTACCTTGTGTATCCGGGTAAGTGGCTACCTTGTGTATCCGGGTAAGTGGCTACCTTGTGTATCCGGGTAAGTGGCTACCTTGTGTATCCGGGTAAGTGGCTACCTTGTGTATCCGGATCTCTATATGTCGTGCCGAATAGGTAAAACTGGTCAATTAACAAGAACTCATATAAAATTAAGTTCTTTCTGAAATTTTCTCTTATACTTTTAAAGATATATTTTTTTTTCATTTATGTTAATGTAAAAATTAATAATTTTGTACCAAAAGAACCTTAGAAAATTTACCCAACCTTATTATAAGAAGCGCGATTTAATTTAGCCTAATCCAACTAAATATATTTTAGATAAGTTTACAATAATTTAATAATAAACAAACTCAATGAAATATATTTTTTTTCGTTAGGTTCAGAATTATTTTTGCGAAATTATTGCATACACAAATTTTCGCTTGCCTTATTCGGCAAGAAGAGCGTTGCTATTTAAGCCAAGTCACAAGTTTTACCTATTCGGCACGACGCATATACATTAATACCATCGTGTAGTAGATAAGCTTTAAACTTAATAAAGCAATCAGCCATTCTTACCACTCTGTTTATCCTCAGGTTCCTGATACATCCTCTGAACGGTCGAGCTACGAGGGCAGGAGTCCGGGCGTGGGTGTGGGCGGCGTGGGTGTGGGCGGGGGGCGGGTGTGCCAAGCCGCCCATTTGTAAGGGGTGGCCAGTGTTAAGCACCTTGGTTCCCTGGGGTAGGTAAGAGACGCCTCTGCAGGTGTGGGTGTGTGTGGGCGTGGCCGTGGGTGAGCTGTCGTCGTGGGTGGGCGTGGGGGTGGTTGTGGGTGTGGGTGGGTCGTCTATGCTGCCGCCCACACACAGGTCTAGGATGAGCTCCACCCACTGTAAGAGATACAACTGTAGAAAAAGAGGAAAGTGAGGGAGAGAGAGAAGAGAGAGAGAGAGGAGAGAGAGAGAGAGAGAGAGAGAGAGAGAGAGAGAGAGAGTGAAGAGGTGAGGGAGGGGTGGAGGGAGGGATGGAGGAAGTGGTGGAGGGGGAGGAGAGAAGGGGAGAGGGTGAAAGGGAAGGAGGGAGAGTAAATATTGGAAAGGGGCGAATGAAACAAAATGGAAACTACACTTACGAACATAAAGAACAAACGAAAGAAAATATTTTTTTACTTAAAACTTTAAAACACACACACACACACACACACACACACACACACACACACACACACACACACACACATATTCTCAGGAAAAACTCACTAGTCACCCCTGAACTGTTTCAGTATATTTTTTTCCTACCATCTCCTATATTCTATGTAAAACTAGTTTAAAAATAAAATACATTAACAAAGATATGATTGGAAAGAGAAGAGCATAAATAATATCTCAAATACTTCATCCAGCTCCCCGGCGGTGGGTCGTGTGACCAAAATGCTGCAGGCATTTCCCCTCTGGATCGCAACACTGAGTCTCTGGAAGAGGAAACTGGTTACTTCTTCATTTAGCTAACTTGCACGAGCTGGCACTGTCTGTGGCACTGCTTCTCTTCTCAAACCACCATAGCTTCTTCACAGTTTTTAATTCGCACATACATAAGGGGGACTACCAATAGGCCCCTGGCTGCTTTCAAGATGGATCTTCATTGGTACCTAAAGTCAGTACCTGACTAACCTGGCTGTGGTTCATACGTTGTGTGCGGCCAGCAGTAACAGCCTGGTTGATCAGGTCCTGATCCACTGGGAGGCCAGGTCAAAGACCTGGCCGCGGGGGCGTTGATCCCCGAAACCCTCTCTAGGTATACTCCAGGTATACTCCAGGTATACTCCAGGTATACTCCAGGCATACTCCAGGTATACTCCAGGTATACTCCAGGTATACTCCAGGTATACTCATCTCAAGGTCACAGTCTATCTCCAGTCTTCATGAGAGGCGCCTTGACGCCTGTAAATTACTCTAGCTTGCGTTCCATCCAGCATAACTCAATTGAAATAGATTGGAAAATGGGAACAGAGAACCTAATCCCAAGGAGCCGCATCCGAATGGATTAAACTGTGTCAGCAGAGAATCTAATCCTCTTTGTAGCCCACATAGCTGGACCAGAATGGATTGGAGTGTCAGGAGAAATTCCTATCTTCTTCTTTTCCAAGGAACGGACTGAATTCCAAACAGAGGAGTGTCTTAAGAAGCAAGGTGAGACAAGAGAAAGGCTTCTAATGTCGTCTTGAGACTGTCAATCACAACCGAAACTCGATCATAATTACTGGTGACACTTGGGTAATGGAGTCTGGTAGAAAGTGACGAGGAACTGAGAGAGAGAGAGAGTGAGAGAGAGAGAGGGGGAGGGAGAGACAGACAGACAGACAGAGGCAATAAATCTGACTCTGTATGTGTGTGTTTGTGCTTGTGTGTGTGTGTGTGTGTGTGTGTGTGTGTGTGTGTGTGTGTGTGTGTGTGTGTGTGTGTGTGTGTGTGTGTGTGTGTGTATGTAAGTGTGTGTGTGTCGTAAGAAACCAGAGAGATCAATAACACAGCAGCGAGACAGCGAGACACACAACGAGACCTCCATAAAAAAATGGTCTCATAAACCACGTGCACCCAACTCTAATACCCCCTGTGGGCCCCAATGGACCTCCCAAGGTCCTAGGGACCGCTAACCTCCCCTGGGTGAAAAGTGAGGGATTCGATTAACTGGCTTGAAATCTAATCTGGAATTCCAGACACAAGCGTACATGTTCCAGTCCGACGTAGCGCATATTTTGAATATAATAATAATAATAATAATAATAATAATAATAATAATAATAATAATAATAATAATAATAATAATGATGATGATGATGATGATGATGATGATGATGATGATGATGATGATGATGATGATGATGATGATGATGATGATGATAATAATAATAATAATTATAATAATAATAATAATAATGATAATAATAATAATAATAATAATAATAATAATAATAATAATAATAATAATAATAATAATAATAATAATAATCGAGGCACAGGAGAAAACTCCTTCAATATTGCAATATTGAAGAGGAACCCAGGCCAGAAGTGGTTCATCTGCATGCCACCTCAGCTAACCTAGACTCTACATCCACATACATTCCAAGACGAGGTCTCCTGAGGACCACCCATCAGCAGCGAAGACCACCCAGACCAGAGCGAACCTCATGGGATCTGCAGGTAACCTTTACACCACCAGACAAGAATATTCCCTAAAATTGGGATTTAGAGTTGACTGGCAACATATACGCGAGCATCAATACACTTTTCAGTGTATATAACCTCAGACTCGTCAGAAAACAGGAAAGTTAAGTTTTTGCTAACGCGGATATCAGTCACGGGAACTTCTGGTCATCTGGCCGAGACCTTCCACTGGCTTACCCCTCCACTCCTTGAAACATTATGTAGTGAACAGGCGTTGTTTATAAAACTTCAGTCATTAACGACAATAAATGCGTGTATCTTCGCAATAAACCATCCATACCCTCACCAGACTCGCCTCTCCACGCAAGATAAGACCGGATATTAGCACAGGAAAATAAAGAAAACCAAAGTTCTGCGGGAAATAACAGACAAGCCAGTCTTAGGATTGGCTTACCGTGCCATCCTACACTGTTGATTTATTTACAATATGGTTAATATTTTTTCGTGATTGATTGATGTCCGTTTCTTGCAAGAATTGAAGAGAAAGAGGCTTTCAAATGAGCTGATGTAGGTAGCAGCTCTTAGCTTGTAAGTAAAGTTAGGAACCTTAACCTAACGTTGTAAAACCCTGTGGAAAGAGAGAGAGAGAGAGAGAGAGAGAGAGAGAGAGAGAGAGAGAGAGAGAGAGAGAAGAGAGAGAGGAGAGAGAGAGAGAGAGAGAGAGAGAGAGAGAGAGAGAGAAAGAGAGAGAGAGAGAGAGAATGTCAGCCACATACCACAAATCTTCAAAGGAGGAAGTTCCTGAAGTAAGATGTATCAACAACTCCCAACTCTGCCGCAGAGCTCAAGATGAAGAACCAATCACAACTAGGTATAGAGGGAACGAGTGTCCTGATTGGTGGACAACCTGTGGTGACGACTGCAAGGTGACGAGCGTGTAAAACTGAACGACTACGAGAAGACGGACGAAGTTCTGATTGAACTAAGAGGTAAGTGTAAGAGGTATTATACAATGTTCAGAGTTGTGGACCAGGATTTTAACACACAATATTAAAATTCACCCATCGTTAGGGTGATCGGGAATCAAAATCTCGGAATTGTGGCTTAATCATGGCCTGGTCGTGGCCTGGTCATGGCCTGATTATGGCCTGGTCATGGCCTGGTTATGGCTTGGTTATGGCCTGGTCATGGCCTGGTCATGGACCGATCTGCGCGGCTATTGACCCCTCAAACACTCTCCAGGTATCCTTCTACAGTCTACAGGTATACTCCAAGTATACTCCAGGTGTTCCTGGAGTATACGTGGACTCAGTGCTTCTCCCCGATAAATAAAGACAACCAACGCTCCTCTTAGAGGAAAAAAGAAGAAAATCTGCATTGCAGGTGTGTGAGAGGCGAGTAGCGACAGAACTGAGGAGACAGAGGCCACACGTGTCCTGAAAATTACACTCACATTTATGAGAAAGTGGAGAACCCACAGGGGTCCCACAGCGCCTGGGGGAATGGCAAGTAATCAGGTTTGATTCAGGGGAGGGAATGATAGATCCAATTTGAAGGACGTATCCTGAGGGGGAGCTCTATTGAGGAGACCACTTTGGGATGTTGCAGCAGGTGGAGAGGTTAACAGAGCCACGGATAAGATCACATATGCAATAGGTTGGGGGTTACTAACACCTTGCTCCAGGCATTTTAATCGTCTCTTACGACACGCAGGCCTTACCGATTATAATATATAAATATATATATATATATATATATTATATATATATATATATATATATATATATATATATATATATATATATTATATATATATATATATATATATATATATATATCTTCTAAGTTAACAGTGAAACTTAACGTGATTATTACACTTGTAGGAGAGCTCTAAAACTGAAAGAGTCATACAGCTCCTAGGGATGAGAGTTCATCAGGCGTGATACAAAGAGATGAGGGTAGTTGTTGCTTCTCTGAATCAAGAGCCTTTTCAATCAAGAGCCTTTCAATCAAGAGCCCTTCAATCAAGAACCCTTCAATCAAGAGCCTCTCACTGGCATCAAGGTCCCACCTTTCCCCCTTGAATGGACAATAACATCAAGACTCACCTTCTCCTTCCAGGTGAGGTCGAGTCTGTGCCACCTGGAGTCAGTCACCTCATAGGTGGCATTGATAGTGAGGACCACTGGACCAGCACCTAAGTCCAGGAGAAGCCAGGGACGCCCATCTCGCAGTTCAAGGGCCAGCATGTCCCTTCCCTCCCCTGCAGGGTACCTGGAGGCCTCACCAGGACCTGAATACAGGAGAGTAGCGTCCCTAGAGTTTGTCAGGAACTCCAGACTGAGGTGGAGGTGTTGGCAGGGAGGGAGGGGCGGTAGCCAGGCCCAGCCACCCTCTGCAGGAGACCTACTGCCGGAGGCTCTTCTTTCGGAGGTCTTTGGGTCTCCAAGACCCTCGAAGTGTCTGCTAAGGATTTTACATCGAGACCCATCAGCACCGTGTGGACAGATGCATCTGAGAGGCAGAAAAACATTTTTGTTATTATTAATAGTACTACTACTAGTATTAGTAGTAGTAGTAGTAGTAGTAGTAGTAGTAGTAGTAGTAGTAGTAGTAGTAGTAGTAGTAGTAGTAGTAGTAGTAGTAGTAGTAGTAGTAGTAGTAGTAGTAGTAGTAGTAGTAGTAGTAGCAGCAGTAGTAGTAGTAATAAATAGCAGCAGTAGTAGCATTAGTAGAGGCAGCAGTAACAGCAACATTAGTAATTGCACTAGCAGCAATAGCAGCAGCAGAAGCAGCAGTAGTAATAGTAGAAGCAACAGCAGTTGTGGTAGCAGTAGTAATAGTATAGTAGCAGCATAGTAGTAGTAGTAGTAGTAGAAGTCGTTTTTAGAAAGGATAAGGTAGCATCAGTATACAGGATGGGCGTTCACCAACAGCCTGAACGATCAGAGAAACAACGCAATTAGCAGACAGAATATCGAGCCTCAACCACTTCATGCGCCTGAACAACCCACTACGGTTTTAGCGCCTCTCCCATGTATACAGTACACTTTATTTAACGCCACAACTTCTGCTATTTTTATCTAGTAATCAGGTGTAATCAGCCTCCTGCCTCCCTGTTAATTGGCTATTATCAGCTGTAAGAGCCACTATTATTGACGTAGTTAACATGATAATCGTTGCATCTTGCTAATGCAATGTTCTAACTGGCCAGTAATCCAATTATATCATCTGTTTCTTTATCGGATGCTGGATCAGAGATAAGCAGATTCTGTTGAGAGGAAGGAACACTGAGATGCTCAGAGAATTGATGTTCTGTAGGCGTAAGGTACAATTGTCTTCCTAGGCACTTGCCTTCCTAGATCCTAGGGACAATTTCTATCATAGGCCTTAGGCATACTTGCCTTTCAGGGCCCTAGGTACACTTGCCTTCTAGGCCTTAGGTACACTTTCCATCGTAGGCACTAGGCATACTTCTTATCGTAGGCCATAGGTACTCTTGCCTTCCTAGGCCATAGGTGTACTTGCCTTTCTAGGCCATAGGTACACTTGCCTTTATAGGTCCAAGGAAAACCTGCCTTTATAGGTCCAAGGAAAACCTGTCTTCCTAAGCCCTAGGCATGCTTGTCGTCGTAGGAAAATCCTCTATAAGCCTTTAAGAAAACAAATCTTTCGTGGTTTTAGGATAGTTCAATGTGACCAATATGCCTACCATCCATCGTTTTAAAAGGGATATTTATGGCGCCGACAAATTTACCGACACAAAACTAAACTGAATGGGAACTATTCTGGCAGTAAGACGCATCATCCATTAAATACTGAAGCCATTCATCCCATTAAATACTGAAGCCATTCAACCCATTAAATACTGAAGCCATTCAACCCATTAAATACTGAAGCCATTCAACCCATTAAATACTGAAGCCATTTAGAAGTCACAGACTCATATGTTCATTATGATGATTAAGGGGGAATCAAAATTTCACACAATTGACACAATAAAATGGTGAAATTTGCACCTACATATATCCAATTCAGATTTACGAGGCCTTTCTTTGGACGTTTAAAGCCGAACCACCGAGGATTTTGCAAGTTATCATGGCTATTCCCTGATGCTGGTAATAATGTCAATAACTTTGGTCACGGGGCAGCCACACATGCCAGATGTTCCTGGAATCTGGTCCTCGTTATCACTCATAAGCAGTGAAAATTTGAAGCCGATCGAATGAGCTGTTCTAGAGTTATGATGGAAATAAAAGGATAGGAGGAAAATTAAAAAAGTCAGGCGGGCATTCAAAAGACCTCCTTCCGGGATATCTAAAAGTCAGGTAACTATTTAAAGGTTACTCCTAAGGGATACCTAAAAAATCAGGCAATCCTTTTCAAGGATACTTACAAAACAGGCAGCCCCCTTCAGGGATACCTAAAAATAAGCAACCCCTTTCAGGGATGCCTAAAAATAAGCAACCCCTTTCAGGGATGCCTAAAAATAAGGTAACCTCTTAAAGGTCCCCCTTCAGGCATACCTAATTAACAAGCAACCTTTAAAAGGCTGCCCTTCAGGGATACCTGAAGTAATTTATAAGGATAATATTAATAAAATCATAAGGAATTAAAAGGCACAATACCATGACTGGAACAATACAAAAAGTAACCCGTACAGAGGAGAGAGAAACTTACGATTTGAACCATTTACAAAGTCACTTCGTAAATGGTCTAAGTCGGACCGAAACGTCGTCGTAAGCTCCTCTCTCCTATGTGCGGATTAGTTGTGTGTATTCATAACTCTACGAGTTAGTGTTGCAAAAAAAATGTTACAACTCACTTGTATCCTGTGGGAGTGGGTAGACAGCGACCCCCATTGAGACAGGTGTGAGGCCTGCAGGTGTGTTGAACGCAGGTGTGTTGAGGACAGGTGTGTTGGTTGCAAGTGTGATGGGGGCATGGCTTGTGGTGGGTTCTCTCAGGGGCCTTGTCAACCCTGTGGCAGCTACAGAGGTTGATGAGGTCAACTCTGGGTCCTACCACTGCTGTACCTCCAGCCTCCACCACGCTGTACCTGGCTAGTGTACCAGCGGTACTAGCAGGCTCTGCGTTGGGTCCTGGAGTAGACTCGGTAGCAGGCTGGTGGCTAGTACCTGGAGTAGCTATCTGGCTCGTTACTGGAGTACTTGGCATAGCAGAACTGGAGTAGGTAGAGCTTCTTCTATCATCAGTGGTAGAGGAGTGAGAGGCATTCCTCACAGAGACATGCCTCTCCACGGTCTCAAGACCTATCTCCGTACATACTCCTACGCCCACATCAACCACTCTCACTCCAATTGCATGGCTCAGCTGGAAAAAATTATTTAAATACGTATATATATATATATATATATATATATATATATATATATATATATATATATATATATATATATATATATATAATATATATATATATATATATATATATATATTATGTAAGGTGTGTATATTGGTGTATTCAATATGTGGCCATACTGACCTGTTCCTTGCGACGTAGCAGCAGAAGGTCGAGATTAGCATCGGCAGGAGATGTGATCCACACGCGGGTTAAGAAGGTGGATGAGGTGGTTTCCAGTTCTTGTACGGATACCACTCTCACGCCCACGCCGTCCACGCCCACAGAATCCCTTCTTTCCTCCCCCACGCCAGTGCCAACCTCTCTTCTTCCCTCCAGGGTCAAACGTCTTCTCTTTCTCTCTCTTTCACCCATGTCCCCTTGCTTTCTCTTCCTTCCTTCCTCTCTAACCACTTTCCTTCTAACTGGTTCTCCTCTGCCTTCCCTGCCTTCCTCCTCACCCTCTCTCTCCTTCACCCACGCCCGCACCACACCCACCAGCTGACTCAACACTGAAGACGGCTCCTAAAATACACAATAAAATTTAATTTGACACCCATTGTATATATATATATACATATATATATATATATATATATATATATATATATATATATATATATATATATATATATATATATATATATATATATATATTGGTTTAGAAAGACACGTAAGCAAACACTATGACATATTTATTAGAAAACGTTTCGGTCCTGGGACCTTGATAACTTCTAACATACAGAGGTAGAAAAATATTATATATATAGGCGGAGAGTGAGGTGTGACGCACGTGACCTGAGGAATGTCAAGTTGGGATGAGGACGGGTAGACGATGAAATCATGTGACTCCTGTGTTGTTGGGTTGGTGGTGCTTAAGTATCATGTATGCCAATGTTTTTGAAATTTTGTAGTTTCCTGTGTTGCGTTCTATAGTGTCGGTGACGGCGATTAGTGAGGCTTCTAGGCACCGTCGGCGTCTGAGGTCTGGTTCGGTGAGAACGAGTTGTGCCTCATTCCAGTTCATCAAATGCCCCGTGGAGTCTCTGTGGAGGACACAGGCGTACCTTACATCGTCTCTGTTAGAGGCATTTCGATGCTCATTCAAGCGGACTGCAAGATCTCTGCCTGTCTCGCCTACATATTTCTTGGGGCAGAACCCACAGGGGATAGTGTAGACGCCTGCTGTAGAAGTTAGAGGTGTGGGGCGTCTACACTATCCCCTGCTCATTCAGGCGGATTGCAGTCCGCCTGAATGAGCATCGAAATGCCTCTAACAGAGACGATGTAAGGTACGCCTGTGTCCTCCACAGAGACTCCACGGGGCATTTGATGAACTGGAATGAGGCACAACTCGTTCTCACCGAACCAGACCTCAGACGCCGACGGTGCCTAGAAGCCTCACTAATCGCCGTCACCGACACTATAGAACGTAACACAGGAAACTACAAAATTTCAAAAACATTGGCATACATGATAGTTAAGCACCACCAACCCAACAACACAGGAGTCGCATGATTTCATCGTCTACCCGTCCTCATCACAACTTGACATTCCTCAGGTCACGTGCGTCACTCACACCTCAATCTCCGCCTATATATATAATGTCTTTATACCTCTGTATGTTAGAAATGATCAAGGTCCCAGGACCGAAACGTTTTCTAATAAATATGTCATAGTGTTTGCTTACGTGTCTTTCTAAACCAACTTGTCGTTATTACCAAGGTTTATACCATATATTATATATATATATATATATATATATATATATATATATATATATATATATATATATATATATATATATATATATTATATATATATATATATATATATATAATAAGATTACAGTAAACAGATGATTTCAGAATATGCAAAACAACCACTGTGAAAGAATAGAGAAATTCCAAGCGCTTTCGTGACTATTCACATTATCAAGGAACAATGAAAGTAATGCATCAAAGGAAGGTATATAAAGGGTCTAGCCCACACCTCACTATCAAATCCCACAACAAAGCAACACCTGACGCGCGACTCATAAGAAAGGGAGCACTGCAGCAGGCCCGCTGGCCCAACTAGACAGGTCCTTCACACAACCCACTAACAAACTATTCTACCCAAGAATTAAGAATTTTAGAATTTATTATTTGTCCAATGTATTATTAAATTCTTACCAAATTCTATTAATTACAAATGGATCTAATTTATATAAACCAAAGGAAATATTCATATTATTGTCAAAACTGCTTTTTATGAAACAAGATTCAATTATATTCCTGTCGATCATGGACTTGCTTGATACTACTTTCTCAACTTTTTGAAAATCAGTTGGATGGTATTCATGTGAGAGATTTTAACCATCCAATTGATTTTCAAAAAGTTGAGAAAGTAGTACCAAGCAAGTCCATGGTCGACAGGAATATAATTGAATCTTGTTTCATAAAAAGCAGTTTTGACAATAATATGAATATTTCCTTTGGTTTATATAAATTAGATCCATTTATAATTAATAGAATTTGGGAAGAATTTAATAATACATTGGACAAATAATAAATTTTAAAATTCTTAATTCTTGGGTAGAATAGTTTGTTAGTGGGTTGTGTGAAGGACCTGTCTAGTTGGGCCAGCGGGCCTGCTGCAGTGTTCCCTTTCTTATGAGTCGCGCATCAGGTGTTGCTTTGTTGTGGGATTTGATAGTGAGGTGTGGGCTAGACCCTTGATATGCCTTCCTTTGATGTATTACTTCATTGTTCCTTGATAATGTGAGTAGTCACGAAAGCGCTTGGAATTTCTCTATTCTTTCACAGTGGTTGTTTTGTATATATATATATATATATATATATATATATATATATAATATATATATATATATATATATATATATATATATATATATATATATATATATATATATATATATATATATATATAAACACAACTTCCACCTGACAAACGTACCTGTACATACATTCGTACTATTAACAAAGGCAATTGAGCCAGTTAAGGTTGTTAGCCAGGCCAAAAGAGTTAGTATATTGTATATTCTTTAAGAATGCATATTCTTTTGCTATGTATACGCCCATCTGAATGGCGTTGTGTAATACAAAGTGTGTGGAACACAGAGCTCTGACCACCACCCCCCAGCCCTCCCCGGGAGAGTAATTTGCATAACAAGTGAGCAGAGGAAATACTTGACTTCATCAGTACTTGTTTGATTGAAGGTGCTCGTTACGTTGTGTTATATTGTATGTGAACCATGGAGTATTTGGCTGCTTGATTACGTTTACTGAGTTGAGAGCGTGGGTGGTTAATGGGGTTTAAACTCTGTTACACGAGGGTCATTAAGGCTGGTTGGTTGGTTAATGGGGCTTAAAGTCTGTCTACTACACGAAGGTCATTAAGACTGGTTGTTTGGTTAATGGGGTTTAAAGTCTATCTACTACACGAAGGTCATTAAGACTGGTTGTTTGGTTAATGGGGTTTAAAGTCTATCTACTACACGAGGGTCATTAAGGCTGGTTGGTTGGTTAATGGGGTTTAAAGTCTATCTACTACACGAGGGTCATTAAGGCTGCATGTCACCTGTACACCACCAGTCAAGAATACTTTAATACCTAAAATACTGGTTAAAGTATACTACCAGTGTATATACACCGAGAGTGTATATACTCTGAGAAACATTCACCTCTCAGTTTATACACACTGAGAGACATTCACCTCTTGGTGTATATACACTGAGGGGATATATGTCTCAGTGCATATACACAGAGAAATATTGATTGTTCCAGCCACAGTATTGTGGGTTTTACTCTTTAGATCTCCTCTTTTCTACATTTTCCTTTCTCTCTCTCTCTCTCTATTTCCCCCTCTCTCTCTCATCTCTCCTTCTCTCATCTCTCTCTCTCTCTCTCTCTCCTTCTCTCTCCCCCTCTCTCTCTCTCTCTCTCTGCCTCATTAAAAACCCCCCTCTCACCTGCTCCTTCACCACTCTGAGTGGGTCGGCCTCCAGAGTGAGTGGGATGGCTTCCTGGAGGTCACGATGTTGCACTGACTTCACTTGGACTGTGACGTTGGCGCTGACATCCTGCTGACCTTGGCTGACATCGCTCACCAAGAAAGCCAGCTCGTATCTGTCAGGGAAGAGGGCGATTTGGTCGTTCATCCTACTGGTGTAATAGAGCGTTTGGACTTTATTGGCTTTGGGACTGTATTGCTGACACCTCTCTCTCTCTCTCTCTCTCTCTCTCTCTCTCTCTCTCTCTCTCTCTCTCTCTCTCTCTCTCCTTCTCTCTCTCCTCCCCTCTCTCATCTCTCTTCTCTCCCCTCTCTACTCCTCTCTCTCTCTTTTTTTCTCTATCTCTTCCTTCACAAAGCTCCCTACCTGCCGTCTCTGGTGCCTGGCATCAGGGCCAGACTCCCTGTAGAGGAATCCAGGGAGAAAGAGGGATGCTGTGAGATCATCCATCTGTAGGTCTTGGATGATGCATCCTCCTCATCCGCATCCTTCACGTATACCCTGCCCAGGGGCACAGCATCCACCTGGGGCTGTGAGGGAGAGAGATAGGTGAACATGGGTAGGCAGGATGAATATGAGTGAGGTAGGAATCTTCCTCAGTAGGAATCTTCCTCAGTAGGAATCTTCCTCAGTAGGAATCTTCCTCAGTAGGAATCTTCCTCAGTAGGAATCTTCCTCACTAGGAATCTTCCTCACTAGGAATCTTCCTCACTAGAAATCTTCCTCACTAGAAAATCTTCCTCACTAGGAATCTTCCTCACTAGAAATCTTCCTCACTAGGAATCTTCCTCACTAGGAATCTTCCTCACTAGGAATCTTCCTCACTAGGAATCTTCCTCACTAGGAATCTTCCTCACTAGAAATCTTCCTCACTAGAAATCTTCCTCACTAGGAATCTTCCTCACTAGAAATCTTCCTCACTAGGAATCTTCCTCACTAGGAATCTTCCTCACTAGGAATCTTCCTCACTAGGAATCTTCCTCACTAGGAATCTTCCTCACTAGGAATCTTCCTCCATAGAAATCTTCCTCACTAGAAATCTTCCTCCTAGGAATCTTCCTCACTAGAAATCTTCCTCACTAGGAATCTTCCTCACTAGGAATCTTCCTCACTAGGAATCTTCCTCACTAGGAATCTTCCTCACTAGGAATCTTCCTCACTAGGAATCTTCCTCTCAATAAAATCCTCTTGAATCGGTGAGGTTGAGAGGAAAATATCAGTGAACTATGTCTCTCTAGACCGTGATAAAGTAGAGCAATTTCTCTCTCTCTCTCTCTCTCTCTCTCTCTCTCTCTCTCTCTCTCTCTCTCTCTCTCTCTCTCTCTCTCTCTCTCTCTCTATCTATCTATCTATCTCTCTCTCTCTCTCTCTCTATCTATCTATCTATCTATCTATCTATCTCTCTCTCTCTCTCTTTCTCCTTTAAAGTTCTTCATTGGATGTCGAAGATAGTCATCATAATGATGATTATGATGATTGTAATGATGATAATGGTGACGATGATGATAAAAATATTTATATAATGTTAACGTTATTAATATGATAACATAAAAATTAATAGTAATAATAATAATATAATAATAATAATAATAATAATAATAATAATATTATTATTATTATTATTATTATTATTATTTATTATTATTATTATTATTATTATTATTATTATTAATGATAATAATAATAATAATAATAATAATAATAATAATAATAATAATAATAATAATAATAATAATAATAATAATAATAATAATATTATTATTATTATTATTATTATATTATTATTATTATTATTATTATTATTATTAATGATAATAATAATAATAATAATAATAATAATGAAAGAAGAGTAACGACAATAAAGGTAAACAATAAAATGGAGAGTAAAGGTTGGGTGATGAACACGGGAGGAGAAGATGAGGTGTCGTGGGTGGGATGGATGGGCGGTGATAGTGGGTGGTGGTGGGCGGATGGGAGTGGGCGGCCGGGGTGTTTGTAGCGCTGGGAACAACTGACGTAAAGCTGTATTAGAGCTGTGAGCTTTACAGCTTGAGTGAGCCTTCAGAGCTTTATAGGGGAGAGAGGAGAGAGAGAGAGAGAGAGAGAGAGAGAGAGAGAGAGAGAGAGACAGACAGACAGACAGATAGTTATGAGACATACAAGAAGGGAACAGGATGAAGTTGTAGCCATCTGTGGGCCAGCTGTGGGCCATCTGTGGGCCAGCTGTGGGCCATCTGTGGGCCAGCTGTGGGCCATCTGTGGGCCAGCTGTGGGCCATCTGTGGGCCATCTGTGGGCCATCTGTGGGCCATCTGTGGGCCAGCTGTGGGCCAGCTGTGGGCCATCTGTGGGCCAGCTGTGGGCCATCTGTGGGCCAGCTGTGGGCCATCTGTGGGCCAGCTGTGGGCCATCTGTGGGCCAGCTGTGGGCCAGCATTTTCATTTGATCAACTGACTTTATCTCGTTGACATCATTATGCTGTACGAATGTGTTCCATACTCGAGTCATCCTGGGTATATATGATCTCAGATGGAGTGATGTTCTGGAGAAGGGTACAGCCGGAGTGAAGTTGCTGCTGGCTGCCCGTCTTGGCTGTAACCTTCTCCAGAACATCACTCCATCTGAGATCATACATACCCAGGATGACTCGAGTATGGAACACATTCGTACAGCATAATGATGTCAACGAGATAAAGTCAGTTGATCAAATGAAAATGCTGGCCCACAGATGGTCCACAGCTGGCCCACAGATGGTCCACAGCTGGCCCACAGATGGCTCCAACTTCATCCTGTTCCCTACTTGTATGTCTCATAACAATAAAAATGCTTTCAAATGAGCTGATGTAGGTAACAGCTCTTAGCTTGCCAATAAAGTTAGGAATCCTTAACCTGTAATATAGCTGTCAATAAAGCTAGGGATCCTTAACCTTGTCAAACCCTGTGTAAAAAGAGAGAGAGAGAGAGAGAGAGAGAGAGAGAGAGAGAGAGAGAGAGAAGAGAGAGAGAGAGAGGGAGAGAGAGAGAGAGAGAGAGAGAGGAGAGAGAGAGAGAGAGAGAAGAGAGAGAGAGAGAGAGAGAGAGAGAGAGAGAGAGAGAGAGAGAGAGAGAGAGAGAGAGAGAGAGAGAGAGAGAGAGAGAGAGAGAGAGAGAGAGAGAGAGAGAGGAGAGAAAGAGAGAGACAGAGAGAGAGAGAACAGAGAGAGGAGAGAGGAGAGAGAGAGAGAGAGAGAGAGAGAGGAGAGGAGAGAGAGAGAGAGAGAGAGAGAGAGAGAGAGAGAGGGAGAGAGAGAGAGAGAGAGAGAGAGAGAAAGAGAGAGAGAGAGAGAGGCAGAGACAGACAGACAGAGGAAGAAAAAATAGAAAAGAAGGGGGAAAGAAGCGAATGGTGACCAGAGGAAATTAGAGATAGAGAGAGAGATAGAAGAAGCAGTGGTACCAGACAGGATATCACCCTGGGCACTGCTGTACCACGTCAACCACCCTTCCTGGCAACACTGCAAGACTTTTACAATACTTTTGCAGCGAATTTACACAACATTTACGATAGATTTACAATAGACTTACGATAGAAGGAAAACATTCACCTGAATATTGGAAAATTGGAAATGGAATCTCAGTATAATTTATTTAATATAAATCGCTGAATCCGTTTACGTGATTCAGTTCAGTGAGGTTCACCCACCTTCAGGAGGTTCACCCACCTTCAGGAGGTTCACCCACCTTCAGGAGGTTCACCCACCTTCGGAGGTTCACCCACCTTCAGGAGGTTCACCCACCTTCAGGAGGTTCACCCACCTTCAGGAGGTTCACCCACCTTCAGGAGGTTCACCCACCTTCAGGAGGTTCACCCACCTTCAGGAGGTTCACCCACCTTCAGGAGGTTCACCCACCTTCAGGAGGTTCACCCACCTTCAGGAGGTTCACCCACCTTCAGGAGGTTCACCCACCTTCAGGAGGTTCACCCACCTTCAGGAGGTTCACCCACCTTCAGGAGGTTCACCCACCTTCAGGAGGTTCACCCACCTTCAGGAGGTTCGCCACCATCAGAAAATTCCCCCACCTTCAGGAGGTTCACCCACCTTCAGGAGGTTCACCCACCTTCAGGAGGTTCACCCACCTTCAGGAGGTTCACCCACCTTCAGGAGGTTCACCCACCTTCAGGAGGTTCACCCACCTTCAGGAGGTTCACCCACCTTCAGGAGGTTCACCCACCTTCAGGAGGTTCACCCACCTTCAGGAGGTTCACCCACCTTCAGGAGGTTCCCACCTTCGGTCCACCTTCAGGAGGTTCACCCACCTTCAGGAGGTTCACCCACCTTCAGGAGGTTCACCCACCTTCAGGAGGTTCACCCACCTTCAGGAGGTTCACACCACCTTCAGGAGGTTCACCCACCTTCAGGAGGTTCACCCACCTTCAGGAGGTTCACCCACCTTCAGGAGGTTCACCCACCTTCAGGAGGTTCACCCACCTTCAGGAGGTTCACCCACCTTCAGGAGGTTCACCCACCTTCAGGAGGTTCACCCACCTTCAGGAGGTTACCACCTTCAGAGGTTCACACCTTCAGGAGGTTCACCCACCTTCAGGAGGTTCACCCACCTTCAGGAGGTTCACCCACCTTCAGGAGGTTCACCCACCTTCAGGAGGTTCACCCACCTTCAGGAGGTTCACCCACCTTCAGGAGGTTCACCCACCTTCAGGAGGTTCACCCACCTTCAGGAGGTTCACCCACCTTCAGGAGGTTCACCCACCTTCAGGAGGTTCACCCACCTTCAGGAGGTTCACCCACCTTCAGGAGGTTCACCCACCTTCAGGAGGTTCACCCACCTTCAGGAGGTTCACCCACCTTCAGGAGGTTCACCCACCTTCAGGAGGTTCACCCACCTTCAGGAGGTTCACCCACCTTCAGGAGGTTCACCCACCTTCGGGGTTCACCACCTTCAGGAGGTTCACCCACCTTCAGGAGGTTCACCCACCTTCAGGAGGTTCACCCACCTTCAGGAGGTTCACCCACCTTCAGGAGGTTCACCCACCTTCAGGAGGTTCACCCACCTTCAGGAGGTTCACCCACCTTCAGGAGGTTCACCCACCTTCAGGAGGTTCACCCACCTTCAGGAGGTTCACCCACCTTCAGGAGGTTCACCCACCTTCAGGAGGTTCACCCACCTTCAGGAGGTTCACCCACCTTCAGGAGGTTCACCCACCTTCAGGAGGTTCACCCACCTTCAGGAGGTTCACCCACCTTCAGGAGGTTCACCCACCTTCAGGAGGTTCCCCCACCTTCAGGAGGTTCACCACCTTCAGAGTTCACACCTTAATCCCCACTCAGGAGTTCGCCCACCATCAGAAAATTCCCCCAGCTTCAGAAAATTCCCCCACTTTCAGGAAATTCCCCCACCTTCAGAAAATTTCCCCCACTTTCAGAAAATTCCCCCACCTTCAGAAAATTCTCCCAGCTTCAGGAAATTCCCCTACCATCAGAAAATTCCCCCACCTAGGAAATTCCACCTTAGGAAATTCCCCACTTCAGGAATTCCCCTTCAAAAAATTCCCCCACCTTCAGGAAATTCCCCACCTGCAGAACATTGGCCTGGATGTGTCGTGAGGCAGGTGACATAGGGTTGTCATTGAGGTCATCCACGTGGATGGTGAGGGTGACGGAGGTGGTGACGGAGCCAGCGTCACCCACCAGCAGCGGTACCAGCAGTACCGGGACAGTCTCCCGGTCCAGCGACCCTAACGTGGAGACCACACCAGTCCCCCGGCCACCGTCTCCTCCTGTTCACACACATAATAATAATAATAATAATAATATAATAATATTAACAATACAAATAATAATAGTACAATTATTATTATTATTATTATTATTATTATTATTATTATTATTATTATTATTATTATTAGCATTTTTATTTTTATTATTATTATTATTATTATTATTATTATTAGCATTTTTATTATTATTATTATTATTATTATTATTATTATTATTATTATTATTATTATTAGCATTTTTATTATTATTATTATTATTATTATTATTATTATTTCAACATTCATATCGATATTAATCTTCATATTAATTTTAATATTTTTATTAATAATACTTAGGTAATAAAAGTATTATTGCATTAATTAACATAATAATTATTATTATAACTAGATATTATCAGAGTAATAACTGAATAATATCACCTTATTAACTGGATAAAGAGCCAGTCAGAGAGCCAGTCAGAGAACCAGTCAGAGAGTCAGTCAGAGAGCCAGTCAGAGAACCAGTCAGAGAGCCAGTCAGAGAGCCAGTCAGAGAGTCAGTCAGAGAGCCAGTCAGAGAGCCAGTCAGAGAGCCAGTCAGAGAACCAGTCAGAGAGCCAGTCAGAGAACCAGTCAGAGAGCCAGTCAGAGAGCCAGTCAGAGAACCAGTCAGAGAACCAGTCAGAGAGCCAGTCAGAGAACCAGTCAGAGAGCCAGTCAGAGAGCCAGTCAGAGAGCCAGTCAGACAGCCAGTCAGAGAACCAGTCAGAGAGCCAGTCAGAGAGCCAGTCAGAGAGCCAGTCAGAGAGCCAGTCAGAGAACCAGTCAGAGAGCCAGTCAGAGAGCCAGTCAGAGAGCCAGTCAGAGAGCCAGTCAGAGAGCCAGTCAGAGAGCCAGTCAGAGAGCCAGTCAGAGAACCAGTCAGAGAGCCAGTCAGAGAGCCAGTCAGAGAGCCAGTCAGAGAGCCAGTCAGAGAACCAGTCAGAGAGCCAGTCAGAGAGCCAGTCAGAGAGCCAGTCAGAGAGCCAGTCAGAGAGCCAGTCAGAGAGCCAGTCAGAGAGCCAGTCAGAGAGCCAGTCAGAGAGCCAGTCAGAGAACCAGTCAGAGAGCCAGTCAGAGAGCCAGTCAGAGAGCCAGTCAGAGAGCCAGTCAGAGAACCAGTCAGAGAGCCAGTCAGAGAGCCAGTCAGAGACAGTCAGAGAGCCAGTCAGAGAACCAGTCAGAGAGCCAGTCAGAGAGCCAGTCAGAGAGTCAGAGAGCCAGTCAGAGAACCAGTCAGAGAGCCAGTCAGAGAGCCAGTCAGAGAACCAGTCAGAGAGCCAGTCAGAGAGCCAGTCAGAGAGTCAGAGAGCCAGTCAGAGAACCAGTCAGAGAAGCCAGTCAGAGAGCCAGTCAGAGAGCCAGTCAGAGAAGTCAGAGAGCCAGTCAGAGAACCAGTCAGAAAAGCCAGTCAGAGAGCCAGTCAAGACGAGGCAGAGAGACCAGTCAGAGAACCAGTCAGAGAGCCAAGTCAGAGAGCGAAACCAGTCAGAGAGCCAGTCAGAGAACCAGTCAGAGAGCCAGTCAGAGCCAGTCAGAGAGCAGTCAGAGAGCCAGTCAGAGAACCAGTCAGAGAGCCAGTCAGAGAGCCAGTCAGAGAGCCAGTCAGAGAGCCAGTCAGAGAGCCAGTCAGAGAGCCAGTCAGAGAGCCAGTCAGAGAGCCAGTCAGAGAGCCAGTCAGAGAACCAGTCAGAGAGCCAGTCAGAGAGCCAGTCAGAGAGCCAGTCAGAGAGCCAGTCAGAGAACCAGTCAGAGAGCCAGTCAGAGAGCCAGTCAGAGAGTCAGAGAGCCAGTCAGAGAACCAGTCAGAGAGCCAGTCAGAAAGCCAGTCAGAGAGTCAGAGAGCCAGTCAGAGAACCAGTCAGAGAGCCAGTCAGAGAGCCAGTCAGAGAACCAGTCAGAGAGCCAGTCAGAGAGCCAGTCAGAGAACCAGTCAGAGAGCCAGTCAGAGAACCAGTCAGAGAACCAGTCAGAGAGCGAGTCAGAGAGTCAGAGAGCCAGTCAGAGAACCAGTCAGAGAGCCAGTCAGAGAGTCAGTCAGAGAGCCAGTCAGAGAACCAGTCAGAGAGCCAGTCAGAGAACCAGTCAGAGAGCCAGTCAGAGAGTCAGTCAGAGAGCCAGTCAGAGAACCAGTCAGAGAGTCAGAGAGCCAGTCAGAGAACCAGTCAGAGAACCAGTCAGAGAACCAGTCAGAGAGCCAGTCAGAGAACTAGTCAGAGAGACAGTCAGAGAACCAGTCAGAGAACCAGTCAGAGAACCAGCCAGAGAACCAGTCAGAGAGTCAGTTAGAGAACCAGTCAGAGAACCAGTCAGAGAACCAGTCAGAGAGCCAGTCAGAGAACCAGTCAGAGAGCCAGTCAGAGAGTCAGAGAGCCAGTCAGAGACCCAGTCAGAGAGCCAGTCAGAGAACCAGTCAGAGAGCCAGTCAAAGAACCAGTCAGAGAGATAGTCAGAGAGTCAGAGAGCCAGTCAGAGAGCCAGTCAGAGAGTCAGAGAGCCAGTCAGAGAACCAGTCAGAGAACCAGTCAGAGAACCAGTCAGAGAGCCAATCAGAGAACCAGTCAGAGAGCCAGTCAGAGAGTCAGAGAGCCAGTCAGAGAACCAGTCAGAGAGCCAGTCAGAGAGTCAGTCAGAGAGCCAGTCAGAGAACCAGTCAGAGAGCCAGTCAGAGAACCAGTCAGAGAGCCAGTCAGAGAGTCAGTCAGAGAGCCAGTCAGAGAACCAGTCAGAGAGCCAGTCAGAGAGCCAGTCAGAGAGTCAGCGAGCCAGTCAGAGAACCAGTCAGAGAACCAGTCAGAGAACCAGTCAGAGAGCCAGTCAGAGAACCAGTCAGAGAGCCAGTCAGAGAATAAGTCAGAGAGCCAGTCAGAGAACCGGGCAGAGAGCCAGTCAGAGAACCAGTCAGAGAGCCAGTCAGAGTGTCAGTCAGAGAGCCAGTCAGAGAACCAGTCAGAGAGCCAGTCAGAGAGTCAGTCAGAGAGCCAGTCAGAGAATCAGTCAGAGAACCAGTCAGAGAGCAAGTCAGAGAACCAGTCAGAGAGCCAGTCAGAGAGTCAGAGAGCCAGTCAGAGAACAAGTCAGAGAACCAGTCAGAGAACCAGTCAGAGAGCCAGTCAGAGAACTAGTCAAAGAGCCAGTCAGAGAGTCACAGAGCCAGTCAGAGAACCAGTCTGAGAGCCAGTCAGAGAAACAGTCAGAGAACCAGTCAGAGAACCAGTCAGAGAACCAGTAAGGAGAGAGTCAGTTAGAGAACCAGTCAGAGAACCAGTCAGAGAACCAGTCAGAGAGCCAGTCAGAGAACCAGTCAGAGAGCCAGTCAGACAGTCAGAGAGCCAGTCAGAGAGCCAGTCAGAGAGTCAGAGAGCCAGTCAGAGAACCAGTCAGAGAACCAGTCAGAGAACCAGTCAGAGAGCCAGTCAGAGAACCAGTCAGAGAGCCAGTCAGAGAGTCAGAGAGCCAGTCAGAGAACCAGTCAGAGAGCCAGTCAGAGAGTGAGTCAGAGAGTCAGTCAGAGAACCAGTCAGAGAGCCAGTCAGAGAACCAGTCAGAGAGCCAGTCAGAGAGTCAGTCAGGGAGCCAGTCAGAGAACCAGTCAGAGAGCCAGTCAGAGAGCCAGTCAGAGAGTCAGAGAGCCAGTCAGAGAACCAGTCAGAGAGCCAGTCAGAGAACCAGTCAGAGAGCCAGTCAGAGAACCAGTCAGAGAGCCAGTCAGAGAGTCAGAGAGCCAGTCAGAGAACCAGTCAGAGAGCCAGTCAGAGAGTCAGTCAGAGAGCCAGTCAGAGAATCAGTCAGAGAACCAGTCAGAGAGTCAGTCAGAAAGCCAGTCAGAGCCAGTCAGAAAGTCAGTCAGAGAGTCAGTCAGGGAGTCACTTACGTTCATCAAACTCCACCTTAACGGCCTCTCTAATGTGGCGGGGAACGTGTGGGTGGAGGCTGATGGTGAACGGGGGTCCGTGCCCCCTCTCCCAGTCGTCAGGGTCGTCCAGGTGGACCCGGGCCACCACCTGGGCACCGCCGTTCTCTTGGACCCATACCTCCCGCGGCTCGGAGATGAACGGAGGGTTGTCGTTCACGTCGGTCACGTTTACCTAGAGAGAGAGAGAGAGAGAGAGAGAGAGAGGAGGGAGAGAGAGAGAGAGGAGAGAGAGAGAGAGAGAGAGGGTGGGAGGGAGAGAGAGGAAAAAGATAGGCTCACTTTTCATTTCCTGTTGAATTGAACGCATCACATAAGGATTTCCAAGAGTTTCAGTAAGCTCTTAAAAGAGTGTGACAATCCCTTGTACATATGTATATATATATATATATATATATATATATATTATATTATATATATTTATATATATATATATATATATATATATATATATATATATATATATATATATATATATATAATGTCGTGCCGAATAGGTAAAACTGGTCAGTAAGCAAGAACTCACTTAAAGTTATGTCCTTTCTAAAGACATATTTTTTCATTTATGTTATTGTAAAAATTTATAATTTTGTACCAAAAGAACCTTAGAAAACTTACCTGACCTTATTATAACAAGCGCAATTTAATTTAGCTTAATCTTACTAAATATATTTTAGATAAGTTTGAGATGCTTGTTATGTAAGGTCATTCTGATGTAAGATCATTCTGATGTAAGGTCATTCTGATGTAAGATCATTCTGATGTAAGATCATTCTGATGGAAGGTCATTCTGATGTAAGGTCATTCTGATGTAAGGTCATTCTGATGTAAGATCATTCTGATGTAAGGTCATTCTGATGTAAGGTCATTCTGATGTAAGGTCATTCTGATGTAAGATCATTCTGATGTAAGATCATTCTGATGTAAGGTCATTCTGATGTAAGATCATTCTGATGGAAGGTCATTCTGATCTAAGATCATTCTGATGTAAGATCATTCTGATGTAAGATCATTCTGATGTAAGGTCATTCTGATGTAAGATTCATTCTGATGTAAGGTCATTCTGATGTAAGATCATTCTGATGTAAGGTCATTCTGATGTAAGATCATTCTGATGTAAGGTCATTCTGATGTAAGATCATTCTGATGTAAGGTCATTCTGATGTAAGGTCATTCTGATGTAAGGTCATTCTGATGGAAGGTCATTCTGATGTAAGATCATTCTGATGTAAGATCATTCTGATGTAAGATCATTCTGATGTAAGGTCATTCTGATGTAAGATCATTCTGATGTAAGGTCATTCTGATGTAAGATCATTCTGATGTAAGGTCATTCTGATGTAAGGTCATTCTGATGTAAGGTCATTCTGATGTAAGGTCATTCTGATGTAAGGTCATTCCGATGTAAGATCATTCTGATGTAAGGTCATTCTGATGTAAGATCATTCTGATGTAAGGTCATTTGATGTAAGATCATTCTGATGTAAGGTCATTCTGATGTAAGATCATTCTGATGTAAGGTCATTCTGATGTAAGATCATTCTGATGTAAGGTCATTCTGATGTAAGATCATTCTGATGTAAGGTCATTCTGATGTAAGGTCATTCTGATGTAAGGTCATTCTGATGGAAGGTCATTCTGATGTAAGATCATTCTGATGTAAGATCATTCTGATGTAAGATCATTCTGATGTAAGGTCATTCTGATGTAAGATCATTCTGATGTAAGGTCATTCTGATGTAAGGTCATTCTGATGTAAGGTCATTCCGATGTAAGATCATTCTGATGTAAGGTCATTCTGATGTAAGATCATTCTGATGTAAGGTCATTCTGATGTAAGATCATTCTGATGTAAGGTCATTCTGATGTAAGGTCATTCTGATGTAAGATCATTCTGATGGAAGGTCATTCTGACGAAAGGTCATCCAGACGGAAGGTTATCCAGACGGAAGGTCATCCAGATTTCACTGCTGCAGTTGAGGGGGCGATCACTGTACGAGGCAGCAAATCACTGAGAGTGGCAGTAAGAATCCCATCGGCTCGTATTAACTCTACTGATTTGACAGGTAGCTAAGCCGGGAGGCGTGTGTACAATGATAACCTGTGGCTGCTTGACTCTATAGAGCACACAGCGCAACGTCGTTTAATTGAGAGTTTATTTTGTATATTTATTTGCAATATTGAGTGTCTCATCTGTGTAAGATGTTACTGCTGGTGAGTAATGAGTGTGTTTAGAGGGATCATCAAGCTAGCTCTCTCCTAGCACTTTAATTATGTGTGTGTACTCACCTAGTTGAGGTTTCGGGGGTCGAGTCCGAGCTCCTGGTGTACTCACCTATTTGTACTCACCTATTTGTGGTTGCAGGGGTCGAGTCCTAGCTCCTGGCCCCGCCTCTTCACCGGTTGCTACTAGACCCTCTCTCTCCCCGCTCCATGAGCTTTATCAAACCTCGTCTTAAAACTGTGTATGGTTCCTGCCTCCACTACGTCATTTTCTAGGCTATTCCACTGCCTTACAACTCTATGACTGAAGAAATACTTCCTACTATCTCTCTGACTCATTTGTGTCTTCAACTTCCAATTGTGGCCTCTTGTTTCTGTGTCCCCTCCCTGGAACATCATGTCCTTGTCCACCTTGTCTATTCCACGCAGTATTTTATATGTCGTTATCATGT